GCCTTCCGCCGCGGAAGAAATGCCAACTCCTTCGACGCTCCAAAGCAAGGCCCCTTTTGGAACGCCCCTTTCGAAGACCATATCCCTTACCCTACGCATATCACCACACGGTGCACTGGGATCAATCTCGCATGCGCCCAAATCCGCCAATCCGTAGCACATAAGAACCATGTGGGCCACACGCGCGCGCGCGTACAGCCAAGCGCATGTGCCTAAATCATTCTTATATATACATATTATATATATTATATATATATATGAAAAATATTATATAAAAACAAAAAAAACGCGTGGTGCCCGAAGCGTTTAAGGGTAGAGCCTTTTCAACAAAAAATCAGCTTTTCTTCCGGGATGAGCCAGACTGATTCCATATTTGCGCGCACGCCCCCACCACCACCCACACTAGCGTCACCACATCACCGACGTCGTCATCGTCAATCGCCGCCACTGCCGCCATCGTCACTGCATTCGCCTTCATCGCCGACACATGGACATCATTGTCACCTTCGTCGTCACCAACATCGGCGCTGTCATTGTCATTGCCGTCGTCACCATCCACATCGCCAACACCACCGCTACTATCAATATCGCTGCCGTTGCCGACGTCATCATGATACCGTGCCCGCCCGAATCACCGCCCCGCACTGAGTGCCCGTGCGCAAACGCGGTCTCTGAGACGCGCCGGAAAGCTCCCATCGGTAAGCACCATCGCGGCCGCACCACCCGTGCCAAAAACCAACTGGCCGTCCTGCGCGCGAGCGTTTGCGCGCCAGCGCGGCCGCAGAAACGCGCTAGCAAGTGCCCGTGAGCAAACAAATTGCGGGTCGGAGGTGGGATGATTGCGCGAGCAGTCGGGTAGACAATCCATGAGTGTAATGCACCACGCTTGCATCACGTGCGCTTTCCCAAGGAATAAGATAATCGGCTCCACCCCCCTGCCGAGCCCGAACTTAGCCGTCCCACTTGCGTGTTGCAATGTACATCGAATTTTCCCGGAAAGGGCGCGGGCCCAGGGTTCTCTTTTAGTAGGTTAACCCCCCGGCCCCCCTGCGACTTGGGCCGGCGAAATTATTTTTGAGGATGTCCCTAGCGAAACGCTTGTTTTTCAGAATTGGTTGAGGATGTCTCGAGCGAAACGCTGGTTTTGCAGAGTTGGGGATGTCTCGAGCGAAACGCTTGTTTTCAGAATTTGTTGAGGATGTCTGGAGCGAAACGCTGGTTTTGCAGAGCTGACCGCGACTCGGAAAAGCGCCCCGTGCGCAGGAATTCCGAGGATGTCTCGCGCGTGCCGCGTCCCGCGCGCAGGGATTTCGAGGATGTCTCGACTAATTCACTTGTTTTGCGAAGATTTCTTTGGATTTTGACAGAATGTCTCTAGCGAAACGCTTGTCGTTTCAACATTTATTGAGGATGTCTCGAGCGAAACGCTGGTTTTGCAAAATTGGGGGATGTCTCGAGCGGGGGCCTCGTGGGGGGCCTCGTGGGGTCCAGAATTCAGAGGATGTCTCAGGCGAAATGCTTGTTTTCACGTCCCGCTCGCAGGAATTCCGAGGATGTCTCGCGCGTGCCGCGTCCCGCGCGCAGGAATTCTGAGGATGTTGGCAGGATGTCTCGAGCGAAACGCTTGTCCCCAGCACGTTCCGTAGCGCGTCCCCTTGGCACGTCCCGCGGTGCGTCCCCATGGCACGTCCCTTGGCACGTCGCTTGGCGGGTCCCTTGAGACGTTCCGCGTCGCGTCCTCCTGGCATGTCCCCCTGTCAATTAGCTCTGGGGCAGCTACTATGTGCTGAGGCAGCTCGAGCTTAAGATCCAGATCAGTTCGGTCAGGACTCGGATGCAAAGGAGGACTCGATCCACGAGGCTATAGAGCACAATCGAGGCATAACACATCGCAATTCAGCACGGCGCAGACAGCACAGATTTCGGCACGGTACATCAAGATCGATACACTCAGCATTGCAACTTGGCACGTCCCTTGGCACGTTCCGTAGGGCGTCCCTTGGCGAGTCCACCTGGAACGTCGCGCGGCGCGTCCCCTGGCACATCCCGTGGCACATCCATTGGCACGTTCCGTAGCGCGTCCCCTAAAGGGCTCGAGCCCAGGGTTCTCTTTTAGAGGTTTACCCCCGGAATCGACGGCTGAAGGGCCGGCGAAATTATTCTGCGATAAATTACGTGCGGGAGTAGGGCCGGCGGAATTATTTTTGAGGATGTCCCTAGCGAAACGCTTGTTTTTCAGAATTGGTTGAGGATGTCTCGAGCGAAACGCTGGTTTTGCAGAGTTGGGGATGTCTCGAGCGAAACGCTTGTTTTCAGAATTTGTTGAGGATGTCTCGAGCGAAACGCTGGTTTTGCAGAGCTGACCGCGACGCGGAAAAGCGCCCCGTGCGCAGGAATTCCGAGGATGTCTCGCGCGTGCCGCGTCCCGCGCGCAGGGATTTCGAGGATGTCTCGACTAATTCGCTTGTTTTGCGAGGATTTCTTTGGATTTTGATAGAATGTCTCTAGCGAAACGCTTGTTGTTTCAACATTTGTTGAGGATGTCTCGAGCGAAACGCTGGTTTTGCAAAATTGGGGGAGGGCCTCGTGGAAGGCCTCGTGGGGGTCCAGAATTCAGAGGATGTCTCAGGCGAAATGCTTGTTTTCACGTCCCGCTCGCAGGAATTCCGAGGACGTCTCGCGCGTGCCGCGTCCCGCGCGCAGGAATTCTGAGGATGTTGGCAGGATGTCTCGAGCGAAACGCTTGTCCCCAGCACGTTCCGTAGCGCGTCCCCTTGGCACGTCCCGCGGTGCGTCCCCATGGCACGTCCCTTGGCACGTCGCTTGGCGGGTCCCTTGAGACGTTCCGCAGCGCGTCCTCCTGGCATGTCCCCCTGTCAATTGGCTCTGGGGCAGCTACTATGTGCTGAGGCAGCTCGAGCTTAAGATCCAGATCAGTTCGGCCAGGACTCGGATGCAAAGGAGGACTCGATCCACGAGGCTATAGAGCACAATCGAGGCATAACACATCGCAATTCAGCACGGCGCAGACAGCACAGATTTCGGCACGGTACATCAAGATCGATACACTCAGCATTGCAACTTGGCACGTCCCTTGGCACGTTCCGTGGGGCGTCCCTTGGCGAGTCCACCTGGAACGTCGCGCGGCGCGTCCCCTGGCACATCCCGTGGCACATCCATTGGCACGTTCCGTAGCGCGTCCCCTTGGCACGTCCCGCGGTGCGTCCCCATGGCACGTCCCCTGGCACGTCGCCTGGCGCATCCCTTGGGACTTTTCGCGGCGCGTCCTCCTGGCATGTTCCCCTGTCAATTAGCTCTGGGGCAGCTACTATGTGTTCAGGCAGCTCGAGCTTAAGATCCAGATCAGTTCGGTCAGGACTCGGACGCAAAGGAGGACTCGATCCACGACGCTATAGAGCACAATCGCGGCATGGCACATCGCAATTCAGCACGGTGCAGCACAGCACAGCCCTCGGCAGGGTACATCAAGATCGATACACTCAGCATTGCCCTAGTCAGGTGCCTTTGAAAGCGCTGCCATGTGTTACGGTTCTATATTCCTTTCCGGGTTCGTGGGTCGATCATGTTTCTCATTCCGCATTTTGAAACAAATAGTCCCAGGCGGGCCTGTATCGACCCCCGCCCCAACCCTGTCATCCAATGCGCGCGCACTCGCCGATACCAAAATAAATCAAGAAACTCGTGCGCAAGATCTGCCGCATGCGTTTCCGCGCGCGGACGTCGAGATCATGTCGGAATGCTTTGTTTTCTGTGGGCGAGCGCTCTATCATCATCCTCATCATCGCAATCGTTGTCACCGCCGTCAGCGCAACCAATGCCACTGGCACAATCATCAACATCACCATCACCCTTACCATCACCATCGTCGGGACCATCACCGCCGCCGTCATCGTTGTCATCGTCGACAACGTCGCCGTTGTCGACTTCATCATGACATCGCGCCCGCCCGAGTCACCGACCGACACTGAAATGCCCGCCCGCCAGCGCGGCCTTCAAGACGCGCTGAGAAGCAAGCGCCTATGAGGCCGCATGATTCACGCCGAAGCGACTGGCCGATCTGCACGTGGGCTGGCGCGCGCCAGTGCGGCCGCAGGAGATGCGCCAGCAAACTCCAATCGGACACCACCATCGTAACCGAACGGTCTTTGCGAAACGACCTGCGGATGGATGGGTGCTATGTTTGCGCGAGCAATGGGGCTGCCAACTTCCAAGTCGGGCAAACTTTAGTTGCACCACGTGGAATGCAACACAAAAGATGTACCACATAGAACACACCGCACGCGAGCTGCACCACACTGCCTGCGCCACGTAATTAGGCTGCACGTGGGGGGTGCAGCGGCCTACCGTTCGGGGCCCAAGCTTGCTGGCAGCGCGAAGTCGGATTTAAATCAAAACTCCTGACACACTCCTTTGATGGAGAGGAGACCCGAAGAGAGACGCATATGAGCCACACAGCTGCAAAGCGGAAGTGATGTGTACACACAATATCATGATAGGCACTTCAGGCGGAGAGCGAGGCAGAGAGAGATCGGCGATATAGTTGGAGGAGAGCGAAAGAGAGAGAGAGAGAGAGAGACGTAGAAAGAGAGAGAGGGAGGGAGAGAGTGAACACAAAAAAGGGGGACCGAAGAGAAGATGGAGGGCGAAATAGAGAGAGAGAGAGAGACAGAAACGTGGATAGGAGGAGAGAGGTGCAGGCTGTGCATTGGGGGGAGAAAACACCAAGTCAGCGTGGTCCTGAAGTGAACCTCGGCGGCGCTTGAGCTACTCGCCGCCAAAACGGTGCACCGAAAGGGCGGCCGGGTGCGGTGACGGCCCCAAGTGAGTTTGCGAGGAGGAGCGCCGCGGGGGGCCGACACTGGATCTCGGAGCGCCCGCCTGGCATCCTCTACACTGCCCGCACCCTGGCTGTAGATCTGGACGCTCCACGCGCCCGGGCTGCCAAACGCTCCGGGGGGCTTAGGCGGCCGCCCCGCCGCCTGAGTGCAGCGTGCCCGTGCCACGTCACGGGGTGCACGCGTATCCTCCTGTCGGGGAGACGTAAGACTCGGGCACGGGGGACTCGGGTTGGCCCGACGGGGCCATCATAAAAATGCCGAGGCCCAACCTGAAATTTGACGCGAGCTCCCGCTGCAGACATCCCACGGAAACCGGACCGTCAAAATCCAGGACGCGCTCGTCAAAAAAAACGTCGGCAAACCCGAGTTCCGGCTTACTCGGGTCTTGCGTTCCCCCGATCCTGGCGGGCACGGCGGCGGGGAGGCCGACGAAGTGCGTGCCGGCGGCGTCGGACGCGCCGCCGAAGACGTGCGCGCCGCCGGCCTCCTGGTCCGCCCCGTACCACTGCCAGCCCCCCTCCTCCGTGAAGACCCGCAGCCTTCGGTCGGGCGTGTCCCCCTGCAGTCGGGGCGTTGACCTAAGGAACCCCAAACAAGGAACCCTAAATAAGGAACGAGGACCCTAAGGAACCCTAAATAAGGAACACCGAGCCCCTTCCCAACGAACAGGGTTCCTTCTTCAGCGCCCCGACTGTACAGGGGGATCTTGGCTGAAAAATGAAAAAGATCAGAAAAAATCTTAAGATAGTCAAGAATGGTAGACAAATTGTCCCCTGACTCTTTTTCCCGGAAAGGGCGTAGGCCCAGGGTTCTCTTTTAGGATGGTAATCTGTCCCCTGTGCCTCGACTGAGGTGGGCCGGCGGATTCTTTCCCTGATAAATATCAAGGTCGAGGTGGGCCGGCGGATTAAAATTTGAGAATGTCTCGAGCGAAACGCTTGTTGTTCAGAATTGGTTGAGGATGTCTCGAGCGAAACGCTTGTTTTGTGCTATAGATTGTCCTTTCCTGGGGACCAGGATTCAGAGGATCTCTCAAGTGAAATGCTTGTTTTCACGTGCCCAGTTTTTGAGGATGTCTCCAGCGAGACGCTTGGTTTCACGCCTCCAGGTTGCCCAGGCAGATTTCTAGCATGAGGATTTGTTGAGGATGTCTCGAACCAGAGGCTTGTTTTCACGTGTCCAGGTCGCCCATGCGGATGTCTAGCATGAGGATGTGTCGAGGAACTCTCGATCGAGACGCTTGTTTGCACGTGTCCAGGTTGCCCAAGCGGATGTCTAGCATGAGCATGTGCTAAGAACGTCTTGAGCGAAACGAGTGTTTTCACGTGTCCAGGTCGCCCAAGCACAGCACAGCCCTCGGCACGGTACATCAATATCGATCCCCTTAGCATTGCAGCCTGGCATGTTGCCTGGCACGTTCCGCGGAGCGTCCCGTGGCGAGTCCCCCTGGCACGTCGCGCGGTGCACGTCCATTGGCACGTTTCGTAGCGCGCCCCCTTGGCACGTCCCGCGGTGCGTGCCCATGGCACGTCCCCTGGCACGTCGCCTGGCGCGTCTCTTGTGACGTTCCGCGGCGCGTCCTCCTGGCATGTCCCCTTGTCGATTAGTTCTGGGGCAGCTACCATCTGCTCAGGCAACTCGAGCTTAAGATCCAGATCAGTTCGGTCAGGACTCGGATGCAAAGAGGACTCGATCCACAACGCTATCTAGAGCACAATCGCGGCATGGCACATCGCAATTCAGCACGGCGCAGCACAGCACAGCCCTCGGCACAGTACATCAAGATCGATACATTCAGCATTGCACCTTGGCATGTTCCTTGGCGCGTTCGGTGGCGAGTCCACCTGGCACGTCGCGCGGCGCGTCCCCTGGCACGTCCCGCGGCACGTCCATTGGCACGTTCCGTAGCGCGCCCCCTTGGCACGTCCCGCGGTGCGTGCCCATGGCACGTCCCCTGGCACGTCGCCTGGCGCGTCTCTTGGGACGTTCCGCAGCGCGTCCTCCTGGCATGTCCCCCTGTCGAATAGTTCTGGGGCAGCTACCATCTGCTCAGGCAGCTCGAGCTTAAGATCTAGATCAGTTCGGTCAGGACTCGGATGCCAGGGAGGACTCGATCCACAACACTGTATAGGGCACAATCGCGGCATGGCACATCACAGTTCCGCACGGCGCAGCACAGCACAGCCCTCGGCAGGGTACATCAAGATCGATACACTCAGCATTGCGTTTGCCCGTCACCCAATCAAGTGTCTTTGAAACGTTGCCATGCGTTACAGCTCCATATTCCTTTCCGGGTTCGTGGGTCGATCATGTTTTGACTACTTGTGATTCTTCCTCCCGTAGAGGGACAGGCCCGACTCGACCGCAGCCTCCACGTCTCGATCCACTGAGGCGCCAGGTCCAGCAGGCCGCCGCCAGAGCCCAGCCCGGCGCTGAGCCGCTGTGCCCGGAGGCCCAGGTAGGCCAGCACCTGTCGCGTCGGACGACAAGGGGGTCAGTGAATCAGCTCACGTAGCTGGTCATCCCGGCGCCTCCCAGCGCGGGAGGAGGCCCCCAAGAGACCCCCAAGAGGCTCCCCGAGGCACCCAGGACGCTCCAAGAGGCGCCCAGGACCGCCAAGAGGCTCCCAAGACGCCCCGATAGGCCCCCCGCCGTTTCCCTCGTCCTCTTTCTCTTCTCCTCCTACTCCTCCTCATCCGCCTATTCCTGTTTCTCCCTCCTCCCTCCTCCACCTTCCCCTTCCCCCTCCTCCTCCTCCTCCTCCTCCTCCTCCTCCTCCTCCTCCTCATCCTCCTCCTCCTCCTCATCCTCCTCCTCACCCTCCGGCACTTGATCCTCCTCCTCCTCCTCCTCCTCCTCGTCCTCTTCCTGCTCCTCCTCCTCCTCCTCCTCCTCCTCCTCCTCCTCCTCCTCCTACGATTCCTCCTCCTTCCCCCCCCCCTGGGTGTACGACGGTTGCTCCAGCTCGTTGTTCCTCTGTGTGCTCCTCCACCTCTCTGATCAGGGCAACTCGTCTGGGCATCGTTTCTGGATGGGCTGGTAGGGATTTGGTTTTAATCGCGACCGCGCCGAGAGCAGTCGGGCGGCGTCCAAGGGCACAACAAACTAAGCGGCGGCCTGAATTACGCGCAACGGGAGAGGGAAGGAAGACAAGAGGGAGGACAGCGGGGGGAGGAAACTGGTGGGGATAATTACGCGAATCGTCCAGAAGTCAGGCGATGGTCAAACTGAGAATCTCTGAAATCGGCGGCTCGGGAGGATGTCTCGGGCGCCGGGCCCTTCTCAAAGCGTTCCGGAACGCTCCGAGAGCGTTCCGGAACGCTCCGGAGCGGATCGATCCTCGTCACAGCCCCGTCGGGCACGGGCGGGTTTCGGCACGGTCCCGCCCGAGCCGAAGCCGCGTCCCTGACTGGACACCCTTTTCAGGCCAAGGGAGCTCGGACCAAAAACCACCGCCATGACCAGGTTCTGCAGCGGCCCTCTGGGCGGAGGCGGTGCTGCGGGGCTCCTTCTCTTCCAGCCCCCCTTCGTCCCCTTCGGGAAGGGCTTGCCCCTCCCCCTGGCCCCCCCTCCCCTGGGTCTGGAGGGGGGGCGCCGCGACCAGTCATGCCGTCCAAGATTGCTCTAGTATAGGTCTAGATAGCCCACGATGGCCTGGGAAGCGGCCCCATGTAATGGAAGATGGCTCACAACAACTTCCACGGTGCCTCCCAGAGGCTCCAAGACCCCCCTAAGACGGCCACGGAGCCTCCGAAGGATGCCCCCAAGTGGCCCAAATTCAGTCACAACGGTAGGGGGAACAAGAACAAAGGATGTTTGCATTATTGTTTGTTCGCTTCCGATGTGCTTTTGAGGCCTCAAGACGACTCCTAGAATGCCCAAGAGAACCCCGAGATGGGCTCATCGGGGCTCCAAGACGTCCCAAAGTGCGCCCAAGAACATCCCTCGGTTGGGCCCAAGAGGAGAGCGTCGGGCTCCAAAGAGGATACCTTAAGTAGGGTCACCTCTTCTTTGATCGACGGCCCCTCAAGGAGGCCCGCACTGCCCCAGAACAAGCCCCAGGAGGACTCAGGAAGCTCCCCAACTTGCCCCAAGAGGCATGTTCATCCTCCCTCCTCTACTTCCTCACTCTCCACTGTCTCCTCCGCATCATGCCCCGACACTTCCCCGATCAGGGTAACTCGCCCGGCGATCGTTTCTGGATGCGATGGTGGAGATAACTTGTTTGGTCGGCGGCTCCGAGGCAGCGGACAGGGAGCGGAAGGCGTCGTCTGGGCCAGATGGTGGAGATACTTTTTTTTAACAGCCGCAGGCGGAAGCGCCAGCGGCGGGAGGTCGTGGGCGGGCTACGGCCGCGACTAAATTGCCGAGCGCGCGCGGGGGCCGCGGATCAGGCGGCGGGGGGGGCAGCGCCCAGGGCGGCAGAGCCAGCGTGCACTCCAAGGGATGGTGGAGATACGCGAAGCGGCAACACTGCGCTTGACGCCATTAGAGCAGTCTTCTGGCAAAGACTCGCCCGAGGTCCTGCGAGCTCGAGCTGAAGCCCAGTGAAGTCGCGGGGGAGGCTTGGGGGGAGGCGGCCGCCGGAGGGGGTGGAAAAGAGGGGGCCAGCCTCTGGGGAGGTGGCCACCGCGGCACATACAGTCATCGGCCTGACCTCAGGAACGATGCATAAGGAACGAAGCCCCTTTTTTATCCCAAGGAATAACGCATAAGGAACGATACATAACACATAACGCATAAGGAACTGTAAATAACGCATGCAAGCCTAAGGAGCGACCAGCCCCTTTTGAAAAGTAAGTGTTCCTTACTCAAGCCGCTCACTGTAAGACCTGCAAGAAGTCCAGGGTCGGTGCACGTGGATACTCAGCGCACTCCCCGCGAGCCAGTCGAACCTTCTGCGTCTCCACGCATTCCGCACGACCGATGACGCAGAGGCGACGGGCAGATAGCCTTGCAGCCGACCCGTATCACAAAGATGCGCGGCAAGGATGCAAGGGCCTTGGAGGGCCCCATGTTAACGTTCTTCGAGCGAAGCTGGCCAGCGAAAGTCGCTGAGGAGGGGCCGAAGGGACGGACAATGGATGCCAGGGTACCCCTGGGAAGGCTGCCCATCCTACACATGCGGGTTGACTGCACCGATGATGCAGAGGTGGCGGGCAGATGCCCTTACCACCTAAGGAGCGTGCCACCAGTGGGCCCCCAGCGTGGGGCGCCCAGTGGGCGTTCCGGGGGCCCGACGCCCCCCTTCGCCCCCTCACTGCAGAGGATCCCTCGGGCACTGCTGGCGAAGATGCTTTGTGGGAGGCCTGGAAATGGGCACCAACGCCAAGACAGAGGGCTGCCTCCACAGGGGGGAGGTGATCCTAGGTTTCGGTGTTGGT